ACTTGAATGGTAACCTATTAAGAGGCACAATGGAAATGGACATACAAATGTATAGGACAGAGTTAATCTTCAAATGTAGATCTATATATACGTACTGTAGAAGCAGAACCTGTGTGCGTGTGTTACTTTAGAAATGGACAAGGGTGTCTTTTAGAAATTAACGCTCAAGTGTTGTGATCGTTGTTGAGCTATTTTTCAATTTCGAAATTTAAAATTATGTGGAGGGACAATTTTTTAGTTTCGAAGTTTTGTGTTCCTGAATTTTTTAATTTTTCAAATTAGCAATTTTCAAATTCTCAAATTTCTGAATTTTTTAAGCTCTCAGATCTCTAAATTTTTCAAATTCCCAAATTTCCAAATTCCTAGGTTTTTCAAATTCTTGCAGTTCTAAATTCCTAGATTTTCAAATTTCTACATTTCCAAATTCTTAAATTTTCAAATTTCCAAATTTCTAAATTTCCAAATTCCTGCAGTTCCAAATTCGTAAACTTCCGAACTCTTAGATATCTAAATTTCCAAATTTCTGAATTTCTAAATTTCTGAATTTCTAAATTTCCAAATTTCTACATTTCCAAATTTCTACATTTCCAAATTTCTACATTTCCAAATTTCTACATTTCCAAATTTCTACATTTCCAAATTTCTAAATTTCCAAATTTCTAAATTTCCAAATTTCTAAATTTCTAAATTTGTAAACTTCCGAATTCTTAGATATCAAAATTTCTAAATTTCTGAATTTCTGAAGTTCTAAATTGCCAATGAATTTCCCAAATTCACCGAATCCTCCGAATGTTGATATTCCCACCATCTCAATCCCCAACTTACCAAATTATAACTCTGCACCTTCCAAAATCCATATATATAATCTATCATCCAATCTCCACATTTAACCCCTAAATCCAAACAATTTTTTTCAATAACCTCCTTCCAGCCCAACTTAATTAACCGCACTAATTATCATAATCATCTTAATGACCGAAATAGCATAAGAGAAGCTAGGTTCCGTTGTACAACGCCGGAGTTCTGGTTCGAAGAATTTTTTCGAAATAATCGCGACGGTGGTTGAATAAAAAGCGTCAACCGTTGCTCGTCAAAGAGTAAGCCACCGTTGGAAGGACGTCCATTCTTCTCGGTTAATACAGATATGCTCAAGCCGTTCCTATGAGCGCTACGTCATTGCCAATAGAAGAGAAAACATAAGGGTTGCTGGACCACCATTCATCCGACTCGAACGAGCCTTGAGAACATTTTGTTCGAGCATTTCTAGCGCTAGGAAAAAGCTCAATAGTACGTTCGCGATTAAAGTCACAATTCCATTATGTTTGTTCTCTTGCAGGTTTGTAGTTATGGCCTTATTGTTTCTACGCCGCTTTGCGGGACCGTGTTATACGTAGTTCGTTCGAAAATATAACTACCGCGGTTAGGAACTTTTACAACACGTCGATTGTCACCGCAGAAATAGACGTGTCTAACACGCTGAACGATAATACGGTTTACTAACAACGTACGCTCGGTGAATGACACGATATTCCTCGATTAAATAACTTGCCGGCATTTTTCAATTTATTCTCGCCCCAAGTATTACTGGAATTTTATTGGAAATGACGACACGCGGTTTACGTAGTTCTTTAATATTTTAGTACGAGTATATTGTTTTTCTTTTAGGGATAATAGGTTTGAATTAAATGCATGGTCAAGATGAAAGTGATATTTTACTGTACTTAACTTTTAAGTTAACTTATTATTGTGTGAGGAATATGCCATGCATGTATGAATGTACGGCGCGACAAATACATGTGATACGGAGTTTGCGCTCCTATGTCGAGTATGACTCAACATCACATTTCTGTTGGATCTTGTAAATAATTCAGATAAATAGATTGCTTGAATATATATATTTTCATTTATTTACTATTTATAATCAAAGAAAAATTTGTCACGTACTCCGCACTGTTGCAATACATTTTACTGAGAACCCCTTTCTTGATATATTTTTTGTAAATTAAGGAGTTGGTAGGTAAGTGCAATTGGGGAGTGCAAAGGGTTAAATTATCGATAAGTTAGTCGTTAGTATATATTTATACTGTGTTAATAAGCCACGTACCAGTAGTTGTTTTTGCGTTTCTTTACCTGTATCAAGTCGACAGAAAAAGAGGGCAAGAAGGGAACCATTTTCTTTCTCAGAGGCAAAGAAAGGCAAAAATTCGACTGCCTGCCTTTGTTACTAGCTTTGTATCTACCTTTGCCACTAGCTAAACACCTATTTTTGCCACTAGCTAAATATCTACATTCGCCACTAGCTAAATATCTATCTTTGCCACTAGCTAAATACCTATCTTTGCCACTAGCTAATTACCTACCTTTGCCACTAGCTAAATACCTATCTTTGGCACTAGCTAAATACCTACCTTTGCCACTAGTTAAATACCTATCTTTGTCACTAGCTAAATATCTATCTTTGCCACTAGCTAAATATCTATGTACCTTTGCCACTAGTTAAATACCTATCTTTGCCACTAGCTAAATACCTATCTTTGCCACTAGCTAAACACCTATGTACCTTTGCCACTAGCTAAATACCTACCTTTGCCACTAGCTAAATACCTATCTTTGCCACTAGCTAAATACCTACCTTTGCCACTAGCTAAATACCTTAACACTACTGACATAAGACCCCTAAATCTATCGGTGTTCATAATTTTAAATTCGCAAAAGCGTGGGTCCAGTTCGATCGAACATGTGAACGACACCGATAGAAAAGAGAATAAGAGAAAAGTAAAAAAAGGAGAGAGAGAGAGAAACATCGTTGAGGGTCGGACGACGCTCGGCGTCGTTGTTGGGCGTCGGAGGCAGGCGTGGTAGATTCGACGACCTTGACCCCCGTCCTCGACTGGCGCCCGTTCGTAGGCTGGTCGATATGTGCCGCTCCTTATCCCCCTCGATGTAATACACCCCCTCAACCAACTGATTCTCATCCACCCGTTCTACCTTGCCCTGTCCAAGCTCACCCTGTCCGCCATGCCTCTGTTGCCCTACCATCTCGTATCAACCTCGACATATCGATGTTCTTCGCCTTGCTCGAGCTCGATGTGGCGCAAGATCAGTTTTCTGCCGAGGCCCGAATCAACCTTTACTCTGCCTTCGGGAACTGGAACGAGATCGATTTTCGTTCGATGTGGATGGAGATTCTTTTTATGTGTTATGATGTTAGGTTTATGGATTTTTGAATTTATCTATAAAATTATTTCTTGAGTTCTGGAGTTCGTAATTTCTGAATTTTGAAGTTCAAAATGGGAAAAATCTCATTATAGCAGTTTCAATTTTTCAAATCTCAATTTCACCACCCCTGATTACTCAATCCCAATTTTTCTACTTACAATTGCTCAAATCCCAATCTTCCAAATTCCAATCTTCCAAATCTCAATTTTTCAAATCCCAATCTTCCAAATCCCAAATTTTCCAAATCCCAATCTTTCAAATCCCAATTTTTCAAATCCCAATCTTCCAAATCCCAAATTTTCCAAATCCCAAATTTTCCAAATCCCAATCTCCCAAATTCCACTTTCCCCAATTCCAATTTCTCAAATCCGAATTTCCCAAATCCCAAATTTCCTAAACCCCAATCTCCCAAATCCCAAATTTCCCAAACCCCAATCTCCCAAATCCCAATTTCCCAAATTCCAAATTTCTCAAACCCCAATCTCCCAAACCCCAAATTTCCCAAACCCCAATCTCCAAAATCCCAATTTCTCAAACCCCAATTTCCCAAATCCCAATTTTTCAAATCCCAATTTCCCAAATCCCAAAATTTCCTAACCCCAATCTTCCAAATCCCAATCTTCCAAATCCCAAATTTCTCAAACCCCAAATTTTTCAAGCCCCAATCTCCCAAACCCCCATCTCCCAAACCCCAAATTTCCCAACCCCCAATTTCCCAAATCCCAAAATTTCAAATTCCCACTGTTCCAAATTACCACCTCATCAAATATCGACCTCCTCAAATTTCCACCTCTTCAAGCTTTCACTCTTCCAATTTTCACCTTCTCAACTTTCCATCTCTTCAAATTTCCACCTCTTCAAATTTCCATCTCTTCTTATTCCCACCTCTAGCAATTTCCATCTCCTCAAATTTCCACCTCTTCAAACATCCTCATCTCTAAACTTTCCACATCCTCTATCCCTAAATTTCCAACTCCCTATTTCACCAACTTTCTAATTCCCTTATCGTCATACGTTCTACCCTTTCTTGTGGTAACTCGCACCCCTACCATGTTGCCCTATTATCTCGTATCATGGTCGACGTATCGATGTTCTTTGCCTTGGTCGACTTCGATATGGCCCAAATTGCGTCTTCGTTCACTGGCTTCAGGAACTGGAACGAGATCGATTTTGATTCACCATGAATGGAGCTTGATTCTTCTTTTTTTAAACCCGATCGTTTCTTTATTCTTTCGGAAGTTGGTTCTTGTATAGGGATGTTTGAGAAGTTTTATTGATTTTTTCTGGGCTTACGCGTTGGGGACAGGTCTCATGGCGTTACTGCGGAGTTTCTTTGTTTTTCACCTTAGACTTTGAACATATATATTTCTAATAAGTTGAATTTTATTTTAGTTCACTTTGAGAACCTGCAAAAAAATGTCTTTGATCTGGAATATAGTTTTGGGTAGTCCACAAAATAATTTTCATACTTTTCTAGGTTACTTGTTCTTGGTTTCTGAAATAACATATTGTAGTTAAGAAAAATAAATAGTCTGAACAATTTCGTTAAGTACGAAATAAAATAAATAATTATAAGAACAAGAATAAATAATTGTTAAGAAAGATACATACTTTGAATAGCGACGTTAATTATGAAATTATAGACAGAATACAAGAATTTTTTAATACTTCTATTTAGAATATTTGAATCGCTTGTTCGTATTTTTTAAATAATGTAAGCATTAAAAGCGTAGATCTAGAAGCAAATAATTTGAACAGAAAACATGTTTTTTATGTTACAGAAAGAGGTAATGCTACGTTAGATGACAGCCAATTTATTAATTGATACATCGGCGAACTTATTAACGAACTCGTTCGTCAGCACCGACGTCGTCAACGACAACGACGACGTCGACGACGACGACGCAGAACCTAAACGCGTTTGGTGCGCGCGTTGCTATCGATTTCAACGAAGCCGTCCCAGAACCTTTGAAAAAGATGGTGGTACGTGGTAAGGTCTAATAATTTCTGACTTAATCCACCTTTACAGAAATCCAACAAACCTGTTTTACTTTTAACACGTTCTTCCCGCGTTTCGACATTATTTCGACATTTCGTTAGCATTTCTGTTCTCTTGTCCCGAATAACAGTACAGTATAGGTAAATCAATTATTTAATTCTTTCGCTGCGAAGAACATGGAGCGAGTATCAGAAGTGTACATTGGTATTTTAACACTTAACGGCCCATGTACATTTTTTCGGATCTGTCAATTAATTAGAATCGTCGCTAGAATTTTTGCGAAAATGGTCGCAGCTTCAAAACCGATTCAATTCGGAAACTAGAGACTTCGTTAAATACAGTAATCCACGCCCTACGTATTATTGTATACGCGTAAGAAATGACTATTTCTAAACAGTCAGATTTTTAAACGTCCAGTAATTTGCCTATATTCGTGATCGACGAATATTTAGATGCATCTTAACACTTAAAGGACGGGCCACGTAAATTTACGTTCTTCCATTCCGACTTCCTACGAGGGCCCACGTAGATCTACGCTTCTGCTCGAATTTTTATTAAGCTGCGTTACTTTTTCATTTTTACGCATTGGGTTTTTTCTTGTTACCGTTCTAGTACTATCTGTCGAACTAGTTTTGCTTTTTACCTGGTATTTTTTGGTAACTTCGTAACCGTGAAAATGGCAGGCAGAGTTTGCGAGATATACAATTCGGGTTCCACTTCAGGGTGAATGTTTCACAAAATATCGCTCTTAAGAAATACTAGACACGACCCTTGTAAAATTTCATCGAAAATGGATTTAATTTAATAAAAATTTTATCATTATTCTCCATTAATTACTTGATCATTATTCTCGTTTAAATAAAATTTTATTCGACTAATGTGCAGCACCGATTACAAAATTCAGGGTTTTAGATATTTTTTATTTCATTTCGGCGTTCCTTTTCTGATAAGAACTTGTTTGTATCGACCTGTACCTACTGATTTACGTATCGAACGCGAAAAATAAAATCCAACAAACTCGGTAGAAGGATTGCGCGCTGAAGCGGCTCGAAGTGGGTTGATCCGCTTAAAAACCGTAACGCGATATCTCGGTGATTAAATAAAATAATCACTCCTTCCTTTTCTATATTTTATTCGATACATTATTTTATCGTGATAAGTGCTTTATCGGAACAGAACTTTGTACCGCATCTTTGGATTCAACTTTCTTTTCTTTCTCTTTTTTTCATCCAAGTCTACATTCAAAATACGCACGCAAACAATCATGCAATGACATGATCAAAAATCGATTCACAAATCAGTTCTACGAGTTGTTGGATACCTCATGTATCAAGTGTGAAATTAGATCGTTTCTGGTAATTATATTTTACTAATTACCTTTACAAATTTAGTGCAGCATTAAAATTACTACAGACAGTAAATTTGACAAAATTTCATAAAAAATAGCGTTGATTTAATAAAACCTTGCTTTAAAATCGCATGTACGTGCTTTTCTCTTAAAAAATGAAAAAGTCGCAGAAAAAACCCGGTCTTCAGGTGTTATACGTTAAATGCTGGATCGTGAACCAAACCTTCATTGCGTCAATTCAAATAATATCAATATTATGAATTAAAATGTATAATTACTAAATAACTACAAAATCATTATTAGTGCTTTATCCATGCAAGGTATTTACATTACGTTATATTAACAGAAAGTATAAATTTTCTTAGACAGCACTGTTGGAAGGTTCTCGATATTATACACGTTTGAATATTGTATAGGTCATCATAGAGCTGCTATTAATAACGTTATCGATAAATTGATAATAATAAAATGATTCTCAATATACAGATAATGTCTTCGAGGTATTATAATCAGTACATAGTGATACAGAATACCAGTTATTTTTCTAACTTTCACAAAAAATAACCTTCCCATACTAACTCGTTGACGTCGGTAAATTTTCGCGTAAATAAATTTTCTATATCATATTTCATTTATATATATTTCTATATTTTTATGTAATTAATTTTTAATAAATTTCTATAAATTTTCTATATCATAATATCACTTAATAATCCACATACCGTCGAAATGTACCTACCATCACGTCCATTGGTAGAAGTTTAATCGTCCGTCAAGTTTTACGGTTTCACAGTATTTAAGCAGCGAAAGGGTTAACGCACGTTAGAAATTTTCTAGATCTTACTACATACCCACCGTCAAAAACGTCGAAATAATTATTCAGTCTCGTACATTCATTTATTCGAGTAACATCACGTTTAGCGTGATGTGTAGGGTGCTTTATAAATGTCGTATCAGGGATTCGGGCCGTGTCACGTTGCTTTTTGCCCGGCGAATTTTATGGATAAAATGGAGCCGCAAAAAAAGGTTTGACAGTATTCATGTCGGAGATACATACTTGGCTGATAATGTTACCCTCTGACGCAGAACTTAAAAATGTATGGGCTTATTTCGTCACGTGGAAAGTATTCTTTTTATAGAAAGTCGAGGTCCTTCGAAGGGATGGAAACTAAGAATGTTTTGCTATTGTGTCGATGAAAGGTATTGTCTATCGTGTAACCTGACAGATTTTACCGAGTTCATTAGTTACGTGGAAGGTATTATATGAAAGAATATTATTATTGCACGAAGATACATGTTTTTTCAAATAAGAAACTGATCCCTTGATACTGTTTCTTTTGATAAATTGAAAAAGGGACTGTGAATATGAATTTATGAACGTTTAATATTATACGTTTAAGAATAGAGTTATACATCACTGCTGATAGAATAGTAATTTAAAAAAGAAGTAAATCCTGACATTAAATGGCCTGAAAATTAACTAAACTTTATACGTGAATCTTACTTTCATAAAATATACTTTCGTCATATGCAAAAATTCATATACAAAAATTGAATCAAAGTACATTTAAATTAAACTAAATATTTTGCAAATTAGAAAATATCTTCACATGTTACATATGGTGCTAAGAACATTTTATGGGATAACTTTGCGGACGTACAGGGCGATTCACAGTTAGCGTAACTCCCAGTAAGGGATCCATTCCGAACAGCTCTCCGATCATTTTAAATCAGTAAAAGTTCGAAATTTAATAAAATAACTAATTTAAAACTCTGAAAGTGTCAGAATTTCCAAATCAGCGAAAGTATTCGGTTTTTGCAGCGACGTAAGTTGATTCGAATCAATTTTGAAATCGAGGCAGCGTTGCAAAAAAATTTATTCCCCAGCTATAAGAGCGTGTAGTGTCGAAACGGAAACGAGAATCAGTCGGTAGGTTCCCGAAAAAATACCTTCCTTTCTTGCACGGGTCCCAGTTAGGCTAGAAATTCAGTGTGGTCGCCGGTGTAGACATCGTTGGTCCGGTGAATGACGTGATTTGTATGGCCACGAAATACGTGCGGGGGCCGGAAGGTCATTTTCGCGGCATCTGCGTGTGAATGTGAATCCGGCTTGATACGCTGGCAGGCGGCTTATTCAACCGTAAAACTGAGCCAACCAGTCACCTACTTTTGGACATGTACATTCGGCTGCAACGTAGGCTCTCCATCAAGACACACATTTAAACTTGATCACATCTAAATATTTTGTTCCTTGTCCAATTTATACATTTTTTAATTTTCTGTATCTGCACCTGGGCTTCCTTCTAATTTTGTTAATATTTGTGAATTGGTCAAGTGATTTGGATATTTTCCAAATTCTTGCATTTTTAGATTGTGTACTTCTAAATTTTGTAAATTTTACCTTTTGCACTTGAAGATGTCAGACATCATCTAGATTTGATCATTGAAATATATTTCTAAATTTTGTAAACTTAACCCTCTGCACTTGAAGATACTTCTACTGTTGTACATCATGTACTGTTAGACATCCATAAAAAATTTTTAATAAAAAGTTTGTCTATCATAAATAGCCACTATCTTATGCTTATACACCATATAGGCTCAGTCAAAAAATATTTATTTGAAATTATGTTAATTGTGTTAAAACTGAATGGTGTCAGTCACCTTTCAAAGGGTCAAAAGTTAAAACCGTTTAGTTTATTGCATCGCAAAATTTACGAGGCAGTTGATCCTTGAATCGCAACATCATAACGGTACAGAAAGATCGATAAAAAAAGCAAGAATGAAAATGATTACCGCGAAGGTGGATTACGAGTAACACAGAGGCGAGATATACGGTTTACAATGAGGCGATAACGTCGGGAATGACGAACGGTATAATGGATTATAATAAAGTCTAAGCTACAAGAGAGTAATGATTAGAACAATAGCGATGCTGACGGGGGATAACGAGTACGACGTAACTGTGGAATATGGCGGGAAAAGCAGCTACGATGATAGTGAAACCGACGAAGGTGATCACTGCCACGAACGGAGTAACAATGAAGACACCGATTACAATGCTGATAATTATGAGGATAACGATCCCAACAATAGCGGTAACAAAAACGATGACGACGGGGATGACGGCACATGTGTACGAAGAATTCGGATGACTTCATCTAATATCGATTTTCATCAACCGTACACAGGATGACTTTTAATTACAAAGGATGCCTCATAGTGTTGCAAAATATTCTTCGAAAAAGATGTTGACTTCACTGTTTCTCTTCATGGTCAAAATACTTTTAGTCGATTAATGGATTCTTTCTTTGTGAATCGTCTGCTTTTTTATTATATTTTCCATCAAAATAGGATAACTATTCAATTCAGCCTTTCAACTATCAAAGTTATGTTAACGTACACTACTGTCCATAAGTATCCGGACACTTGGTTTCGTT